CACATAATTGGGCAAAACCAACTTTACCAAAATGTCACACATGACTAAAGAACACCAGAAAACCTAGTGTCCATGACCAAATAAATTCTTTTAATGCATTTCTTAATTTATTTTAGATAACAAGGTGACTTAATAAACATATACCAAAAGTGCACAATAACTTCTACAAAAATTACAGTGGCTCGCATATACTCTCAATAGTCTAATGTACAAATTTTACTCCATTTGAATATGTATAGCAACCTCTATGAAAAGGACAAGTTGCTAAAGCAAGAAATCATGTGAGAGCAAGATAAACCAATAACTCACTCATGCAGCAACCAATGACCATGAAATTTTTACCACACATCAAACATCACATGAGTAGCATGCCACAAAAATTTCACTTCATTTGGAGACCTAGATCTACAGTTATGGAAAATAACAAATTCAACTAGCATTACAACCTTACTGCACAAATCTATTTTTGCAGCCAAAACTTTAAACTAAAACATGCTATATTATAGATCTACTGCATAGACAATTTCACAAGGATTCCAAAAAGTCCTCATTTGCTATTTTACGAATTTCCTATAAATTTTCAAAGTTCCAACCGATTTAAAACAAATAGGTCCAAACAGCACTATTCATATGAGTCACAGACTATGCAGTTAGGCCCCTTCCCTTTGTCGAATTCCAGCACGGGGTCCCTAACGCGAATCACAGCAGGGAGGTCATCGGGGACGGCGATTTCGGCCAGAGGATGCCATGCCGGCGGCAGCAGAGGAGGGCTGACTGGCCTAGCCACGGCCAGCTATGGCCACGCCTGGCCCTGGCCGGCCCAAGCTGTAGGCAGCAGCAGTGGCGCAGCAGCCGAGCAGCAGGACGGCACTGGCGGCTGGAGGCGGGCGGCCATAGCGATGAGCAACGGCGCTCTAGCGACGGACGGCGGAGGAGGAGCAGCGTGGCCGTCACGGGATGGAGAGGTGGAGAGGTTGGAGGAGGGAGCGACGGCAGCTGTGAGCTCCCAGTCATGGCGAGCGAAACGGACAGGAGAAGGAGACCGAGCAGAGGGAGAGAAAGCGAGTAGAATGGAGAGGAGGGAGGCGAGCGCTCGGGCTCGGCCTCTTCACATCCGAACGGTGCGGTGGCGGTCATGCAAGAGAGCAAGGACGCCACGCGGCGTTGCGCGCCTGCGGCCGGTCTGCCATGAATGCGTGCAAGCACAGCAAGCCAATACCACTGCGAAATTACGACTGAAACTCTAACTTTACCATCCTCTATCTCCTGATCCAGTGGTCATTTGATAACGGATCAAGAGGCAAAGTTGTAGGTCTTTGCGAGGTGAACAATATTGCTTTAAGAATCGAGAGCTAACTCGGACTGTATTGGAATATACGAAGGTCCGAAGGAGGACACCCCAAAACTGAATTCAGCAGTTCAGTTTTAGACCGACTGAAACCCATACTTCGTACCTCTTTAACTCCTAAACCACGACGATTTAGCAAAAACTCTATTAACAAAAGTTGTAGATCTACATATTAGCTTCAACTTTTCTTAAAGCGTCAAAGTCTAACTAGGCCTGGTTTGGGAGATACAAGGTTACAAAGTGGGGTACACGAAAGCTCAAACATGAATTTCAGTCATCCCAGACTTAGCCGATTTTTGAGGTTTCAAAACAGCACTGAGTTCAATCTTTGGGCCTCGGTTTGACTTGCTTCAAAGCTGATCTAGCTCTTGATCATTAAACAAAGTTTGTTCTACACCACTCAAACTTCAACTTTTGTTTAGGTTCCACTGCCATGCAAACCCTCTAAGCCATAGTTCAAACCAAGTCAAAGTAGCATCGTGGTAAAGCTTAAATCTGAGTTTTAGACCGATTGATGCATTTTCTTGACATTTGCCCAACATGAACCTTTCATGACTTTTGTTGTAGAGTTCATCTAGAGTCATTTGGGCAAGGTTGCAAGGTTTGGTTGATGACCTACATTTCCATTCACTTAATAGTGCACTTCAAGCACTTAGTAAAATCATTCCAATAAGGATATAACTTATCATTTCATGTGACTTCTTGATTCCAAACTTTATGAAACTTTTCCATGGATCAATATAGATGGATGTTGATGTGAGACACATGAAAGAAGTACATCCAACATTACTCAAGCATACTTTTTAGAAAGGGCAGAATGTAAGCAATGGTGCATGGTCCAAGTTTAAGTTGGAGCTCACTCTTGTAGATTTGATCTTGACACCTTCATCACCACTTAACATGCCATGTTTGAGCTCAAACCCATTGCTTAACTGGTGACAAACACCTAAGGTGTTACAACGAGGTTGTAAGATTATTTATCCGCAAAGTTAAATTTGGCACTGCTTTTGTAGTTCACGTAGACGTCGAAACTACTGACGTTTGCGCCAGAACTTCTGACAACGTCGGGAGTTTCGACCCAAACGCCGGGACTTCCGACATTGACTGACAGATTTGAACTTAGCATTTGCAGTAAATTTTTAGATACGCCTATTCACACCCCCCCCCCTCTAGGCATTGTTAGATCCTTTCAGCTAGAATCTACAGTGTTTTTCTCTCAAAATAATCAGCTTCAGTCGGCTTTAATACCAGCTGAACATGCGCAAATATTTTTCATACCAGGTCACTACCACTTACAACATAGAGTACAACTTGCATGCTAGTTTGAGGTAATTGATGAATTTTTTTTAAAAAAAAACATCAATGAAAAAAGTTACAATAAAGAGTCGGGAATGAAACATATCACTTGCAGTTTTGCACTAGTTTTCAAACGAGCTATCATAAGTGAATTTCTGTAATCACCTGCAAATTCTGAAATTGAAATATATATACAGAGAGGATTAGGGATTTGGGAGGCGACAACCAACACATATTTTATATTATTTGATACTAGTTTCATATTTTATAATTTAAAATGAATTTGTTATGATTTTTAAAAATAGTTTTTTTAGAAAATGCAAAACTATGTCTGAAACCAGCTAGATGGCAAATTTGTCCAATACTGATAGATTGGTGGTCAAATATTTTTAGTTTTAAAGTTTACATATCCAAAATAAACTTAGACAATAGTTAAAAGCAGTCTTCTCCTGTCTTTAGATAATACCAATTCAAATGACTTTTTATATTTTTGCCATTTGAAATGGCGGTTCACAATGTTCTTTGGCGAAACATAAATACTTTCTCTGTCCGGAAAAACATGCAACTATAGGTTGCGTGCCAGAAAAAGTAGTTCATGATAAGTTTCTAGTAAATAGTATTCATATTTATGGCTCCAAATCAATTTATTATGAAAATACATTTCATAATTAATCTAATGATATTTATTTGATGTCATAAATATTAATAATTTTTTATCTATAATTGATCAAACTTAAGATATTAAAACAAGACAATTGCATGTTTTCCGGAGGGAGGGAGTACGAAATATGAGACGGCCGCATAAGTACAGGTTTGCTAATTGTTTTGCTGGGGCATTTATTGCTGCAAATAAAGAAATTCAGAAGATATATATATAAAAAAAACATCGCCCCACCAGGCCATCACCACGTCCTGACCCAATCCGGCCCAACCAGCACTGGGCAACCGCAACCACCCCAGCCCAGACCAGCCCAGCCCAACAAGATCCACCGGAGAGAGCACCAAGAAATCACTCCCGGCAGCGGCGTCGGCTCCAGCAAGGCTTAGCTGAGTGCAGGCCACTCTCCGACCCGGCGGCGGAGGTACTGTGCGTCTGCTCTTTGCTTTCACGGCTCCCTAATCGGATCCCCTGCCTCCAGTGCTCGCTCTCGAAATTGGGGAGCCGGGAGCGGGTTCCCCCTCCGCGTCTATCCACCCGTGGGACGGTACGGCCGTCAGCTCGCCATTCGGTTTCTCGTTTCAGTGTTGAAAAAGCCAGATGTGTTTTCTTTCCGTGTGCCGAATTTCTGTATGATTTTGCGCCCAGATTGCAGAAATCGGGGGGCAACTGTGCCAGGGCTATTGTTTGTTTCGTCATAACTTGTAGTATCAATTATTTGATCCAGTGAGTTGTAATGTTATTGGAGTTGAAAACTTTGCCCCACGAGGTGTCGAGTCCTGGAGGCAAGAATGGGCAGTCCATTCGTTTCCCCCTCGACTAGTTCAGTGTTTTCCCAACCCGGCATTCCCTCTATAACAGCCCGCTGCAATAGATGGATGCACTACAGCTGCTTCTATTGATGTTTCTCTTTTGTCTACTGAAATTATAGAACATGTTATTTTTATTTTTTTTTTGAAATAATAGAGCACTTGCCATGTTTTCCACACTCCCTAGTAGTTCTCCAGTCACTTATGTGCTACATTTTACTAGGAAAAAAAAAGAGGAACTTTCTCCTCTCTTTTGAGTACAGCTGATGTTGTTATTGTCAGATTTATGCTGGAGGAGTTAGCTTAGGAGACTATTCTTTGTTTCAGCTTGTATGCTGCAGCCTACATAGCTAATGATACAACTCATTGGGAAATATTAAAACAGCACTAAATGAGACTGGCAGACTGCATTATTACAATGTAATGAATGGTAGTTGTTTAGAATTCATAGTTATTTCTGGAACATCTGCAATCAAGTCTAAGCTTATCTATAATCTGGCCTAAAAAATATGCATTTCCGAAGAGAGTAGTGAAGCCTCAGTGCTTCACCTTGCTTGTTTACTATATTTGCCATCCTATTCCTGATGGCTATTTGTTAGGTTTGTGAAAGGAAGGTGTACCAAACTCTGTATGTAACACTGCTTCATTCGAAGTTAAGCATTAGGCAAACATCTACATTTTTGTTTGACAATTCACTTTTTCCTGTGGGCAGTCTGAGGTGGGTTCCAAAAGCTGTGAAAGAAAACTTAGGGGGTGAAAAACAGCTTGTTCAGATTTGCAGCCAAATCATATATATTCATTATATCTTCATTGAGATATCATCAGAGATTCCCCTATAATGATGACTCCAAATTCACAAAGCTAGTACAAACTGCTCTTTTCATTTACAATGGATCCTCGTCCTCCCAGTCATTTCTCGCATTTTAAGAGCTATCCAAATGAGCCACCAGGAATGCTAAATCCTATGAACTTCCACCACCAGCAGTTTCCACAGCATCTTTCATTTTCACATCCATCGTATGCCATGAATTTCCCGCACCAGCAATTTCCACAGCCACACCTGTATCCACAAAATGTCCATTATGTTGTTGTCCAACCACAATATGCTCCTTTTTCACTACCACAACCACCACATCCACCTGTTGGGATTATGCCAACACGACCACCTCCACCTGCTGGAGTTATGCCATCACCAGCAGTGGCCCTTCCACGTCCACCACCTGCTCGGGAGATGCCATTTATGACAGTGCCAGGACCTGCTGGGGCGATGCCATTTATGACAGTGCCAGATTCAGGAACTCCACATTCCGTAACTGGTCCGGATGAACAAGACACTGTTAGTGAGGACAATGATGAGAACGATCCTGATAAGGCTGCTAAGCGATTGATGTGGATGGAAGAGGAGGACTTAAGATTAGTAAGCATATTTTGTTTTTGTAATGTTGTTTAGACATTGCATTGCTTTCTTATATATTTGTGTTGGAACTGCAGATTAGTGCTTGGTTAAACTGTCCAAAGCTGAAGAATTTCAAAAGGAAGGAGGTGTGTTGGGGGTATGTTACGCAGGCGTATAACAAAAGTACTCCAAATGATCGGAGGAGGGAAGCAAATCACTTGAAGAGCCACTGGTCGAAGACCAATAAGAAGATTGCCCAGTTCTATAACTGTTGGTGCCGAATCAAGGAAAAATATGCCATGGTCCAGTCTGACTGCATGCAACTTATGGATCAAACTTGGGCGATGTACTATGAGGAAGCAAGGGAAATGTATCTTGAGGAAGCAAAACATCATTTCGCCTTCAGCCATTTCTGGAAAGCTGTTTGGGACCAACCCAAATGGTTAAGGTACATCTCCAAGAGGACCAAGTTGTCTGAGTCTGGGGACTGTACGTCATCATCTGAAGATGACGAAGATGCGGCTGAAAAAGAAGCAAGCCAACAAGGTTGCATGACTGCTAAGAAACAGGATGGTCAAGGCAAGACGTCGTCTCACTCATTGGTGTTGCAAGAAGCCACTCAATGTGCAGTGGATCCTCAAGACTTGCTTAAGGACAATCAAAAGGAGATGACTGAGTTACAGCTTCAGCATGAAAGTGCAGTGCGGGTAGATATTCCTGAAAATAAAATACATCCGCAAGGTTGCAACATAGCAGAACATGCAAGAACAGTGAATGGTGATGTTCCTGGACAAGAGACAACCCAGCGAGGTTGCATGGTGGCAATGGGCAAACGGAAACGTAAAGGCAACTTATCATCTTCTCCCATGGAAGTGCAGGAAGACATTAAACGTGCAATGGATCTGCAGGCCATGCTTCAGAAGGATCGTGAGAAGATGTCAGAGGTACAATTGCATCTCTCGAAGGAGAAGCTTGAGTTGGCCAGGCTAAAGCAGTTGGAAGCGAAGGACAAGAAGGAAACAATGCTCTACGAGAAGTACACAGAGCTGTTGACAGCCGACACTCAGGGGTTCAACGAGTTCCAGAAGGAAGAGTATGAGAAGGCAGTGAAGCGCATGGGAGAGATGCTATTTGGTAAAGATGCCAAGTAGCATACTGTAAGTCTTAGACGTTTGTATGCAGTTACATTAGCATCTGTACTAAATGCTTCCTTAAGAACTTTGCTTGTTTAATTTGTTGTTGTACCTTGCTTCTTCACTTTATTAACACTTCTTTATTGATGAATAACATAATTAGTTTCTTTATAAGTTTTTCTATATTGTGAAACTTTGACACCTGCAACAAAAGGCTTGCTGCATGTTCAGCAAGTTATATACTTGTAACTCTTAAAATTTTGATAATGTTCCTTGATCCAACTGAGCTTTAATTGGTGAAAAGTTACTCTTTTCCTATCTACCAATGTCATATATTGTCCACCCCCTGAATGACTATTGCATTTAGTTAAATTTGGTAGTGTTTTAATTTTTTTTCTTTTGTTATTTGAACATGAATGTCTATGAATTCTTGGTTCATCCCCAACCTTTTTTCAGCACCCTGCTTGCAATTGACGTCATCCGTATGCATTTGTCGGATCATGCTGCTTGATGATAAGCTGGAAGCCTTGCTATTGTTCAAATAATCATGCGGCTACTCCTGATGCCTCTCATGCCAAAACTGATGGCCCTATAAAAATCTAACAATGTTTCAATTTTGGTGCCATCAAGGGTCCCATCAAGGGAGGTTTCTAGTGCATCAAGACTTTCAGTAGTTAGCTAGTAAAGCAAGAAAATATCCTTTACCTTTGTTGAATTTTTGTTGCAAGTGACTTGAAAATGTCCGTCCACCAGTTTGCACATTCTATACACTACTGTGGATATGTTTTCACATCTATATCAAACTGCACTGCCAATTCGATGACGATGGAAAGGAAACAAGCAGCTGAGCTTTGTAGTGCTGGAGAGAAGCGAGGAGAGAATTTATAGGATAGTTTGGAATGAATTTAAGTTGACAAAGTTGTTGGATATCTTAGTGTCCAAATAATGAAATAACTGACATTATCTTCGGCTCTTGGTAGACCCACCCACATGCATGTACTTCTGAAGATCTGGGAGTTGTTAGCTTGATCCGCAAAATTCAATACTATTTCTGTATGAGCACTCATCACGTGTAATGAAGTAATATCAGGTGTAATGAAGTAATTGATCCATTGTTTGTATTTATAGAACGCATTACAAATTTCATAGATGCAATGAAGAAAGAAACCACATTACTATATTCATTATTTTTTCATACGAGCGAAGTCAGATTGCAATTCCAGCTTGAAGGAAGTTTGATAATCTGTGGAATTACTGGATTGAATGTACCTAGCCCCCAGGAATAGAAACAGAAATGAGATGCGGAAATCATCTTACATGCAGCACCACGCTAAAAGAAAATTCCCGGATTTTTTTGTTCATCAAAGCTAATGAGGTATGAAAGATTGAACCACAACCAGCCAACCTATTATAATGTGACTCCTGTTATGTTTTTGACTTGGTACACATACGCAGCTCAATGAATGTCCAAGTCCTAACCATCCTTGTAGCAGGAATGCCATCCTTTTGTGCTTGTTTAGATACATTTGTATTTATATGTGTTGGAGTGGATTAGAGTGAAATTAGTTAATTTTGCACCTAAATCCACTCCAATATATATAGATAGCATCCAAACAATGCCTTCAGTGCCAATATTGGGACAAGAAAACTAATGATTTGGACTCCTTATTCCTTTATCAACTTAAACTTGTACATAAGGTGCAATAACTAATTGGACTTGGCTTTGTTGGACACCTTGTTTGGCATGTTGGGGTAACATCTTTGAGCTGAAAGTTGCATCCCAAAACTGCACATGGTCTAACAAAATTTCATAACAAGTTCAGCCAAATATTGAATTCCACATCAACCAAAAAACTGCTTTAGTAATGAAAAAAAAAACAGGTGTATTCCTCTGTCACAGAGTGGAGCTATGTTTGGCGTTTGAACTTTTTCTGAAAATATAACTGCTTCTTACTTCCTACTCAGGGGAGATTGGAAAGGTGAAATGACAAATTTACCCATGTGCAGTTGCGCACTGATGCGTGCACCTTTTCCATTGAATTGTCCTATACTCTCCTATGCATGTAAGATGGCAGCATGCCAGCATACTCTGTGTCAGACAAGGATTCGAATAAAGGGGATTAGGTACAAATACTTGACCCTTTTAACACTTCTTGATCAACATGGAAATGATAAACATAGCTATATTCTAGGACACAGTGAATAGTTTTAACAAAGTTGTCATTTGATGCTCTAAATAAAATATGTTGAAGATACAAAGTATATTTGAATTAATCACAGTTAAGATTCTAGTTATATAGTAAAAGTGGGTAACATTTTCTGAATCTAGTCTTACAATCACATATGGCTAGTTATATTAATAAAAATTTACACAAGAATAATATGGATGCACTTCTCTGTCATACAGTTAATTCCAATAGTTTGAAGTTAGAGCAGTATTAAGGTCCTTCAAACAGATTATTAAACCAAATGCTTTAATACCAGTAGATAGTAGTACGAATATGGGAGACTAAATAGTGATGAGATACTATGATACTAGAGAAGGATGATTGACACTTTGGTAGTGGAAGCAACTAAATTCATGTGTTGAAACCAAAATTCATCCGATGTTCATCAATTCTGGTTCAAGCACTAATAGCACAATGCCTTGAAACCATATTTCCCAGAGTGCATAGCCCTATCATTGTCCGTATTAAACATGTTAAATTCCACCGTGCTTCCAAATCCTACTAAGTTGCTCCCTCTCTCAGAGATAAATATTGTATTGTCAAGATCAGGAAGCACCTGATCATGTGTTCTGCATACAACAAAATTCAAGTGTTATGCTTCCACTTCTTGCAAGCTAGCTAGGACAGAGAAATCTGAGGTGACTATTACACATCACGTCTATATACGCATGCATTTCGAGCTAGCACATGAGGATTGAAGAGAGGAACTTATATATATAGATGGCTGTGTTGAAAGTAACTATTAAACTTAGGAAAAGAAAGCAATAAGAGAAATAGGCTGAACAATGAAGCAGGCAGGTGCACTGTATTTATTGATTTATCTGTGTTAATTTCTTTTTGTCTTGCGATGCTTACTAGTGAAGCTGCAAATTATATGCGACGACAACTGTCAATTCGACACTGAAAATATTAATAAACCATATGCCCCTTGAAAAACATATATGTTTCGAAAGATAGTTTTGGTATCCAAACACTTAGGATCTAGTACCAATTTTGAACTAAATCATGAAAATTCTTCGACCATTCTTTGCCTTCCAAACAGGACTGGAACTGCCAACTTTTAGGCCAAAGTGCCAAACAAGCTGTTTGATCCATGGCCAGTTTGCATTGGGTCAGGTTAATAAACAAACATAGATTGATCAACCAATCATTACTGGCGCAACAATTGCTCAGAAATGATGTATTATTTGAATAACATTGGCATAATTGTCTCAGCGCTCACCGAAAAGAACATGTGACATAGCAGACAGTTGGAACTAATAAGCTACTCTTTTCCACTACATCCTGCTGATCATACATTATTGCATTGCTGCGTCCATGTACACCATGTAATTTGCCAATTCAGAAATGTAAGAGAAGTTATTGATCCAAGTCCATGTAGTAAATAATAGTATCTTCCCGAAGAGTGATGAATAGTAGTATCTCCATTAATTGTTGGAACCAAAATTCATCCAAAGCTCTTTCATTCCGGTTTAAACAACTACCATAGTTCCTTGAATCAGGTTTAAGCACTACTAGCATGGTGCCTTGAAACCATAGACCCAGGAGTGCATAGCCCTATCATTGTCCGTGCTACTATCTGCTAAAACATGTTAAGTTTCCCTCTGCCTCCAAATCCTACTAAGTCGCTCGCTCTCTTAGAGATAAAAACTGTACTGTAAACATCAGGAAGCACCTGATCATGTGTTCTGCATGCAACAAAATTCAAGTGTTATTCTTCCACTTCTTGCAAGCAAGCTAGCTAGGACAGAGAAACTGAGGTGACTATGACACATCACGTTTGTATATATAGGCATGGGGAATGGGTTTTGAGCTAGCACATGAGCATTGAAAGAGAGGCACTTATATATAGATGACAGTGTTGAAAGCAACTATATTGAACTCAAGAAAAGAAGGCAACAAAAGTAGGCTGAAAATTGAAACAAGCAGGTGCACTGTATTTATTGTTTTATCTATTTCAAAAATATTTACGTTGCAATGCTTCCTAGCGAACCTGAAAATTAAAGGCGATGATAGCTGTCGATTCGACACTGAAAATATTAATAAACCATAGCCCTTGAAAAACATATGTTGCTCATGGTACTTAGAGTCTGTTCCGAAAGATAGTCTTGGCATCCAGATCCTTGGGATTTAGTACAGATTTTGAACTAAATCATGAAAACTCCTAGACCATTCTTTGCCTTCCAAACAGGACTGGAAACTGCCTACTTTTATTTATACCAAAGTGCCAAACAAGCTGTTTGATCCATGGCCAATTTGCATTGGATCAAGTTAATAAAAAAACATGGATTGATCAACCAGGCATGGAGGTCTCTGCCTAGAACTTAGCAGCTAGTTGTGTCTCTATGGTCACCGCTTCTCTTAGAGTGGTTGATATCGCTCGGTCGTGAATTGTTTGTATGTAATTGCTTAATTGTGAATATTGTTCAATCCCTGTGAGACTAGTCTTGCAGGGATCGTGTTGGTCTTGGTAAAACTTGGGTTACTAACTCCATATGTCCTATTTTCCTCTTAATGAAAAATGTGCTTATGCACGGCCGCGAAAAAAAAAGAATACTGCCTAGACTAGTCATGTTTCCCAAGGCAGCAAGCAAAAAAACCTTAAAAGCTTGAAAATCATATTTCGCTCAAAAAACATGTAATTTATGACTTATGAAGCACGATAATTGGCCAAATTGGGATTGGCCTCTAGGTCTAGAAAACATTATTCATTATTTGTTTTTACTAATCTTTTATTTGACTATATGTGTTGGCTTGTAATACACACCGGTAAGGATATTCAAATCACTG